GACCAAGCCCCCAAGAAATAAAGGGCTCCACATCCCATTTAACCTTGCAAAGTCTTTTCCAAACTCTAGAGTCACCTTGTTTAGAAAACAATTAGTAGGATGTTTGCCAACACAATACTTAGAAATCATAAAATTAGCCCAAAGACTAGCTCTAGTGCGCAAATTATACCAAAGTTTAAAAGAAAAAGCCTTAGCAAGATCATTAAAATTCTTGCAACCAAGACTACCTTCAGCCAAAACACCACCACACTTCTTCCAAGCAGACCAATTGATTTTAGAGCTAGTAGAAGTGCCTTTCCAAAAGAATTTGTTAATAAGCTTGTGGACCCTATTACAAACAGCTTAGTCTGAAAAATAGTTTGAAAACTATAAACCGGTAAAACACAAAGAACACTTTTGATAAAAGTAATTCTACCACCAAAGCTAAGGAAATTCGAATCCCAAGATAAAAGTTTGTTTTGGATTGAGGCAATAAGATCATCAAACAAAAAAGATCTCCTCCCATTAAAAAGGGGGACACCTAGATATTTGATGGGCAAGTGAGCATGAGTAAAGCCAGTAAGATTTTTAATAGTTAAAATACGATCATTAGAAATTATCTTAGAAACAACTTTTATTTTTGCTAAAGGATAAGCCACTAACCATCTCGAATTGATAAAATAAATCCATAAACTTTTGAAATCTATTAATAGTTGCATTAGTAAAAACAATAAAATCATTTGCAAAGCACAAATGAGATATGAGAAAGCCTCTCGAAGTTCTAAAATAAAGGCCAGGATTAGCATCAAATGAATTGGTAAGACCCCTAGAAAGAAATTTAGCAGCAATAATAAAGAGAGCAGGAGAAATATGATCACTTTGTCTTAAGTCATGAGAAGATTTGAAGAAGCCATTATTAGAACCATTGACAATTATAGAAAAGTAGACATCTTCAATACAATTCTTAATAAGCTTGATAAAGACATAATCAAGACCAAAAGAATTCTAAAGTAAGATAAAGAAAGTTCCAATCAATATTATCATAAATATCAAGTTTCAAAATTAAATTACCCCCTCTCACCCTAACATCCAAGTCTTGACAGAACTTTTGAGCCAACAAAATGTTATCTGTAATGACCCTACCTTTCACAAAACCATCTGTATAGGAGAAATAATTCTAGGTAAAATAGAAGTAAGACGATTCATAATAATTTTAGAGATCAACTTATTGAAAAAAGTACAAAGACTGATAGGTCTAAAGTCATTCCAAGTGTTAACAACGTTGTTTTTAGGAAGAAACACAATAAAAGTAGAAGTAAAAAATTAGGTATAGATTTACTAACAAAGAAATTCAAAATAGCAGTAAAAATATCATTATTAATAATATGCCAACATTTTTGGAAGAAAAGAGTGGTAAACCCATCAGGCCCAGCCACATAATCACTATTCATTTCAAACAGTCTCTTTAACCTCCTCAAAAGAAGGAGGCCTAGAGAGAGTGACATTCTCCTCAGGGAAATAAGGGTAGGAATGAAAGAAAGATCCATAATCTGAGCCGGATTAAAAACTTTATTGAAACGGGTTTGAAAATGTTGCACAACTAAATTATCAATCTCCACAGTATTTTCAGTAATAGAGCCATCCTCCCTTTGGATTTTATTGATACTGTTTTTAACCATTTTCCTCTTAACCAATGCATGAAAATATTTAGTGTTGTTATCACCTTCAATCAAGTCTTAGTAGCAGCTTTTTGCTTCCAAAAAACTTTTTCTTGAGCTTGAAAATTCAGAAAGTCCTCTTTGGACTTATTTAAAAGAGAGAAATTATCATTAGTAGGGTCATCTTGCAAGCCAGCTTAATAGAATTAACAAGTTGCTCGGTTTGTAGGATATTAGAGAAAAGATTTCTAAAAATATGGTGGTTCCACCAATTTAAAACTTGTTTCAGCCTTTTCAGCTTAAATCAAAGTCTCCTCATGCCAAAAATAGAATTATCTGGATGTAACGGAGCTTGCCAATTATTCTGAACAACATAAAAAAAAGAGTAATGAAGTAACCACATGTTTTGGAATCTAAATTGGGAAGAAGCATTAAGATGTCTAAAATTGAGGCTAATAAGTAAAGGGGAGTGATCAGACAAAGTTCTACTCAGATGCTGCACATTGGTGGAATTAGGGGAATTAAGCCAAGAGTCATTAAAGAGCACACGATCCAGCCTTTGCCATAAGTGACCCTTATTCCAAGTAAAATTATTACCAACAAAACCAATATCAATTAAGTTGCAAGTCAAAATCATATTATTGAAATCCTCCATAGAACGATAAGGAGATGAACCTCCTATCCTTTCAGAGGGGTTAGTGATAGCATTAAAATCACCACCAATAAGCCAAGGCAAATTGCAAATATTATGTAAATCAATAAGTTGATCCCAAAGCAGTTTTCTATTGTAAAGAGAAGAAGCAGCATACACAAAAGAAGCACAACAATGAAAATTAGGAGCCTCAACTTTACAATGCAAGACTTAAGTAAAATCACCAATAACATCAATTTTAACCAGGTCTTTCCAGAAAACCCAAATCTTGTTAGCCATGTTTGAAATAGCATGATTAAAATCCAAGAACCGAGAGTTATTCAACAACCTAAAAGAGGAAATAAGAGGCTCAAGCAACATAAGAATAGAAAGGTTATGCACACAACATAAGTTCTTAACACAAATTCTAGAAGAAGGACAACCAATGCCCCTCACATTCCAAATAATAGCATTAAAAATAAAGAAAAGCTTAATGAGAAGTATGCGAGCGAGTGTTTCTAGGGGGTTGCAAAGAAATATGCTTAGGATTCCTTTCTCTTTTGCTATGAACTTTACTAAAACTAAAATCATTATCATCCTTGACAAAACATTTAGCAGCAATATGCATATCCTCAGTATCAGTCAAAGCATCACTATTATAATTAGAATTTGAAAAAGTCTTACTACCATTTGGGTGTTCCCTTTGAATAGTCTGTTGAGGACATTCATCCTCCATAAACATACCATCATCCTCCATATTATCACGAGTCCTCACAACAAGCTCTTCAATGCATTTAGAGATAGGCGAGCCATGCTCCATAGAAGCAAAGTCACCTTCCTCTAAAGGGATGTCACTCCTCTCACCCACTTTGCAAGGCACTTGCATAGCCACTACTTCCTATTCATTTAAAGGATTAGAAGAAGTATAGGTAAGCATAATACCATTAGACTCATAAACATTTTGATTAAAAGTGCAAGAAGGGTAGTTTCAACAATAACATCATTTTGAACTTCAATACTAGGCAAAGTATGCGTCACATTCTTCTCACAGTCAATAGAAGGAAAATCAAACGATTGGACAATAACTCCCTGATCATGATTCAATGAAACATCATTAGTAATAAAAGGAAGAGGGTCCTCAACATTAACCACCGACGACTCCTCAAGAGATTGAGGAGGATTAGAGGCATTGCTCTCTGTATTAGCCTGAATGGGATTAGAGACTTCCTGAGCAACCACCGCATTTTTTTGTTTCAATTAATCCTTTTCTTTACGGAGATGAGTATGCTTCTGAAAACAATCATTCATGCCATGTTCGTGCATCTCGCAAAAAGGACAAAATATAGGTAAATTCTCAAACTCAATTTTTTTGGAAATAACCCTTGACTTCTGACCCGATCCATATCTCACTAGAATGTTTTTTAGAGACATCTAATTCAACCTAAACACGAGCAACAGACAGCCTCGACACAGAGGCAGTGGCTTGGTCAGTTTGTAACTGTCTCCCAAAAATAGAAGTCATACCAAAAAAGATTTGATGATTAAAAAAGTGAAGTCTCAAATTGGGGAAAGAAATCCAAACCGGAGCAATAGGGGATTCCTCCCTAACATCAAAATCCGGAGTCCATTTAAGCAATCACATTTGACATGCTTGAATATAATAAGATCTCCTAGAAAATATGTGGCTATAATCAAGATCATTAGAAAGTTGGATCTTTATATAAGATTATATTTTTAGGGCTTGTGAAATTCTAAAGAAAACATGAATAAAATAAATGAATACACTATCTGCATTTTTTATGAATATGAAATTAAATAGTTTAAGTATACAATAACAATTGGATTATTAAAGTAAATGGATATATTATTTGCAATCTTGATGAATGTGAAATTAAATAGTTTTATTATTTAATAACAATGGATGATCCTTGTATCTTGGTATGATAGGTTGAGATACCTTTTATCTATTTTACAAAAGAATGTAAGTTTAAGCTTGTTGGTTAAATGGAGATTCACCTTAGAATAAAAGAATATTTTGGAAGCCTGTGAGCACGGACAATATTGTACTCATTTGAGTGTTAAAAGGCAAATAAATCTGTTACAACAGAGTTGAGCATGGTGAAATTGAAATTGTTATTATTGTTGTATGATAAAATGAGAATGTTAAGATTGGTGTGTGGTAAAAAGTAAAAAAAATGATTACTAAATGATTATATTAAAAAGACTAGGAGGTTAGCAGCTGTTAAGATAGATTTGGGTGATTTAGACATGTAAAATGAAAATAGAAAATACTTTAACTACACTAATAATGTGGGAGGGATAATTCATGTGAAGTGATTCAATTTGGAAAATATGTAGATAAAAAAAGCATGCTGTGAGTTATGCAAAAGATTGCTGTAAATTAGATTTGACACTTCATGCAACTCAAGAGAAGTGATAAGAGGATTCAAAAAAGCCAATCCCAAATATTAGGAATGTGGCTAATGATTGTGATGATGTAATTTTATCAAATATTTAAGGTATTCATCTTTCATTCAGTAGTTCAATAGTTTTGAAGGCATTAATCAAAACCCATTGTCTGAAGTATTAAGTGTTAAAATGTTTGGGTGAGCTTGGAAATTGATTAGACCCTGATGCTTTTCTATATTCTCTAAATATAGTTTGTGCTTTTGGTTTCAATTCATCATCATTGATAGAAGGAAAAATTATCAACTTATCTTGTTCATTGACAGGTGGAGCTTTGTAACAAAAATGATGTTAACGAGGATACTTTATTCAGCTATCGAAGAAAATATCTCCCAACTCAGCAGGTATGTAGAAGATGAAAGTTCTATTTGATATATACGCTGTTTTTTTCATTGTGAATATTTGTTCAGAATATTCTGGGTTGTGGTTACGTTAGCAAGGATGTAGGCAAGGCGTGGTAAGCCAATTTGCTACAAATTGATTATTTATTTTTATTGACAAATAATATTTTGAGAAGATGTTAGAATTCTGGACCTGCCACCTCCTTTCTTGAACGTGCGGCTCAAACCATTCAAATGAACTCAGTGTTATAAATGGTTTATGCAAATGCATGTGCCCATGGAAGAAGTCTTTTCAAACTTAACACAGTAAATGAAAGATTAAATTGTATCTAGTGTCTTCTGGAGGTCTTAATTTGGGTCATGGAAATATTGTCTCTTTGAAAATGTAGGGCTAAGATTGCCTACATCCCTTTCTTAGATCTTCTATGAGGAACAAAAGCTCATGTGCACTTGCGAACTCAGGTTCCAAACATGTGATCTACCTCCAACCATTCATTTATTCTAGAATGACCATAAGATATTCACTTCTAATTTTATTTTTTTTTATTCAACAAAAAATAAGCTAAAATTTAAGAAAAGTTCTTATGAATGATTATTTGTAGCCATTTAAAATTTGAGCATGATTTTATTTAAAGTTTATTTCTAATCATCTTCTTCCTCTAGCAGCTTAACTCAAGTTTGCCTACTTTTGAACTCTGATTACCTATTAGTCTAGCCCTATTAGACATTTAAAAGTTCAACTGATTATTAAGATCTGTAATTAGGCTGAATTTTTAATGAAATATTTCAGCAATTGCTCGGGGAATCAGTTTGACGGGTTTGAGGCCTTTGAACTTTTAACTTTTTTCTACAGGTTGCGTACCACACCCCACCTCGTTTTCCAATTGATATCATCGAACATATAAGGCAAGGGGCAGCCTTATTGTTTAAGTCTTTTAAGCTGCGAGATTATGCTAGGATTGATGGTTGGTTTTTGCCTTCTCCTGTGAAGTTATTTTCATCATCAGTAAACAACTGTGAATTTGGAAACACAAAATCTGGAACTATTATATTTAGTGATATTAATTTGGTAAGCAGAGAGTTTCTTTTTAACATTATGGCTTATTGATTTCGTCCTATTAACTGAACATGGCTCTTAATGTTGTTTTGATAAACTTGGTTTGCTGTCCTTGGGCTAGATAAGTGGCATGGAGCAAACCAGCTTTATGTTTCAGCAAGCTTCGAAGGTACCATCCAACTTCCTAATTATTTGGACAGTTTCTACTCTTCTTGCACCCAGTGGTTGAAAAAATAAATATTCTTCCAGTGCGAGGTCATGGTTCTACTTTACCTTTTTTTTTTTAACCTCATTATATCGGCAAGACATTAAAATTTTAAAGTGCTATAAATGTTTGGATTACTCCGGGTTGTGCGTTGATAGATCACTATTTAATGCTAATGGAAAATAATTATGTCACATAAAATGACGGCCTTCTGATGACCTGGTTAGAAAAGTAGAGGTATTAGATTTGACTTATGTTAAGGAAGATAAAGGTATATCTAAAAAGTCTTGGTTAGAAATGATCTTTCTTTATTAGATTTAAATGAGAATTTGATTTTTAACAGGACACAATGGAGAAAAAGGATTCATTTAGCCAACCCCACGTAGTGGGACAAAGGCTTGTTGTTGTTGTTGTTGTTGTTAGTCTCTTGCTCTCCTGCCTCCTAACTTCTTGTCCTGGCTGTTATAATTGCTGGTGTCTCAAGTTTTTTTTTTTTATATTTGGAGCCCCGATTCAGTAGCTTACCACTGAAAAAGTTGAGGCGTTAATTCATGTTTGAATTCAGCAACTGTGTTGATTGATCATCATTAGGAGCTTATTGCTAAATAATTAAAAGCTGCGGTCGATCTTTTGTCCATCTCTTTACACTTCTACCTGCCCCTCCTTTTTGTATTGCTGTAAACTTTTCCTTCTCTGATATTGCATCATAAGAAAGTGCTGTCAATCAAATCTGCGGACTCATTATCCTGACAGACCTGACAACTTATGTATGCTGATGCAGGACTTTCAGGTCCTAGGGTTCCTAATGTAACTAAATAATGCAATAAAAAAATTCAAGCAATCAAGATTTAGAATTCTCTTAAAGACACCAATTTAAATAATCACTTGTTTTTATTTGAGACAAACCAGAAAGCATAAATAATTCATTCCCAATAATATAGCAGTGATCGTTCAAATAAAAAAAAAATCTTAATGAAATTCATACATATACAATTTTTATTTTTATCAAGAATCACATTGCAATAAGAAACTCTAGTTTTAACAGTTAAAATAAAGTTAAAGACAGTAAAAATCAATATCAAATTGTGCAGGTGAAAGGAAAAAAAAAACAATACAAGTGAGCATCAGATAAAGAAATTCAAGCCGGGTGAAAGTTAATATCAAATCAAGCGCACACTTTTAAGGAAACATGAGATTTTTATTTATAAAAAAATAGCTTATTATATGCGTCATATCTTTTATTCATAATCAACTAGGCATTGGAGGTTCATGAATACAATCATAGATTCCAGGTTCTGCTATCCTACAATAATCAGTGTAATCAATGTATAGGCACTAGCTTTGAAAGCCCTCAATAGTGTTGCAGTCAGCGATTTTTCGACTGGTAAAATCCCCTTGATGCCCAAAGGACCTAGTCGGTTCGGTTCATCAAATGGAACCTTACTTCTCTCTTATTTTATATGTTGTATTGCTTAATTTTTGTTTTCTTCAATAATTCCCTCCAAAGGGAACCTTCGGGCAACCTTGCTCTATAAATAAAGAGCTACTTCTTCAATAGTATTTAACTTTTGAAAATTGAAAAATGTTTATGTATTTCCCCAAGTTCATCTCGTTCGGTAGTTTAGCTGCATGCAAAAACAAAGAAACGAACCTACCGTAGGCTTCATTGCCGCGTCGACGAAGGATGTATCCCGTCGGCTTCATTGCTTTGTCGGCTTCACTTCTTTGTAGGCTTGCTCGTGTGCTGCTGCTCCGACGACAACGAAGAAGATGCACGCTGCTCGCGAAATAGAAAAACCCTAACTTTAAGGTCTGGTCGGAGAGATGCTTATGTCATGGAAATGAATAGGCAAATTGAGTGGGTCGCGGAAATGAATAGGGTGTACGAGTCGCTCTCTCTGTCATTTTTTTTGACAAGACGCATATCTAATAGGAGTGTCATGTCCAATTTAAATACTATTTTAATTGGACACGGCTTGCCGTGTCTGACACATATCTGTGCTGTATCGGACGCATTTTCGTATTCGATGCGTGTCCGATACAGCACACCTTCGTAAATAGTAGTATCGGTGCAACATATCTCTTCTTCAACATGAAATTGGTTGGATATTTCTTTCCTCACCTCATCTCCGTCAAGAAGCTGCATATTACTGCCATCAATGCCCTTCCATACCACGTATTGTTGTCCAATTGTTGAAATAATAATAATAAAAACAGAGAGATGCTTCGTTTCACGAAAGGATGCCACCTTCGGCTTCACTAAAAAAAAGGATGAAAGTTTGGCTAGTTAATTCGATACTCGTTTCTGTCTCGAACGCACTCCCTCTCATCTCCCTCAGATGAATGGCTGGTCCTTTAATATGAAAGGCTGGCTACTGTGTCCCAAATCCGAATCCATGCAAGCGATTGTCTGACCCACGTGCAGTTTGATCTCTGCCCTTGTGCGAAACCATATCCGAACAAACCCGCACCCAGTTCGGACGATCGTCTGCACAACTCCATCCGAAGTAGTGCACACATGTACCCGACCTGCCTCGTCCTGCTCGACTTCTTCCTGCTTGCAAGCGATCCATCGTTTGAACCAACCAAACCTGATCCGACTCGGTCCTCTCTCCTCTAATCGACTCGAGGTATAAAAAAAAGAATGGAAGAAAAGAAAGAAGAAAAAAAGGAGGAAAAAAAGAAGGAAAAAAAGGAAAAAAGTTTTTAATAGGTATCTGCCAATTTGAATACCCGTGTCCTGGGCAGTAATATTTGATTTGAAGACACCGCGTAGTTGCAACTTTGATCTGGGAGGGATGATTTTAATTTGAAGAAGACCTTCCGCCGTGTTATATTTTGATCCGGGCGAGAAAACCAACGGCAAATGCAATCCCAACCTTCCTTCAGAGGAGGGGACGCCGGGATGTTATTGATAAAAAACGCAAAGAAAATTGTCTTTTCTTTTAATTAATTAAAGGGAAGAGCCATTTAAAAAGATGGAGAGCCACTTTATTGCACATTAATTAATTAATTGAGTTTTTTTTTAAATGTGATTAATTTAAACCATTAATTTAATTAATTATTAAAAACTCTGATTAATTAAAATTCCCTTAGATGAATTAAAAAATCAAAATAAAATAAGCTTAAAAATGGGAATAAAGTTTTTGGACATTAATTTTTGAAGACCTTGTTTAATGTATCTTTGATCCAGGCGAGAAAACCAATGGAAAATCCCGTTCCAACCTTCCTTTTGGGGGAGGGGACGCCAAGAGGTTACTGATAAAAACCGCTAAAAAAATTTTGGCTTTTCTTTTAATTAATTAAAGGAAGAGCCACTTAAAAAAGTGGAGAGCTACTTTATTGTACATTAATTTATTAATTAATAAAATTTTTTAAATATTATTAATTTAAAATTTTAATTTAATTAATTAATTAATAAAAAAACACTAATTAGTCAAAATAAAATAAACTGAATAAGGGAACAGAGTGTTTACGCTAAAGGGTTTAATATAACTGCCCAACAAATGCTCTAATACAATCTAAAACGGATCAACCAAATGATCAAATTCGATGCAAAACATAGTTTAAAATTGCGCAATAAGAGGCGCGCCTCTGTGCAATTTGGACTGAGGACGCCTTGTTGCCTAAGCAATTTTGGCGTTTGCTGAGGCTTACGACTCAAGTATAGTGAGGCACGCCTCAGTTATGGTATTGCGCAATTTAGCTTGAGGTGTGCGCCTCATAGAAAGGGTCTCACTCACTTTAGTTTTAAATAAAAATGATATTTCCTTCTCCCTTCTACCGGTCCAAGCCGAACCGAAAGCCATCCCGCACGCTCCCGTTCCCGCAAGCTCCCGATCCCAGATCTCCCGCATGTCTCCTCCGCCTCTCCCGCCGGCGCCGCCTCTAGCCGTTGAGTTCTTTGTTTCCGGCTGTCCCTCTACATCACTTCTTCAAGTATTCTTAGAGTTTTTTTTTTTTTAAGTTTAGGGTTTGATTTTTCAACTTATAGGAAAGCTAGGGTTTTAATTTTTTTGAGTTTTTTTGTTTTATTTTGTTTTTTTCTTTAGGAAATATGGTTAAGGGTAAGGAAAAGTCTAATACGTCATTGCGGAGGGACCCTTCTTGGAAATATAGTGTACAAGTTGATGTAGGCAATGATGAGAAGACTTATGTGTATTTGAAATGCAATTTTTGTGATAAAGTGGTGAAGGGAAGAGTTACCCACATGAAGGAACACTTATCATGCTCTCATAAAAGCGTAGCACCATGTGCAAATATGTCGGACAAGGTGAATGATGAAATTATTGCTTACATGAAGAAGAATACCACGCCAAAACATTTACAACATGAGCAATTTGATGAAAGTGTCGAACAAGGTGCTTACTGCAAGAGCGAGAGTGGAAAGGGCTCTTCCTCCACTATACATAATAGAGGTGTGCGGGATCCGATGGACCAGTATATGATTAATCCAGGAGTTCTGCAGCACAACAAGCAAATAAAAGTATTTCACAATTTCTTATGTGCTATTACATTATATATATATGACGCGGGTAATTAACATGATAATAATCATTTTTATTGAACTGGGAAGAGAAAACTCAGTAACATTGAAGATGATGAAGATATGACATCCATAGATAAAATTGGAGAAGAAGATTCCCTTGAAGACCCATTTAGTGATGGGATATGATTGGATTTTATATGTTCTTTTTATTTGTACTTTGGACGTTTTGATAGACTAATATTTTGTGGTTCTGTTCTTTGAATTATACTATATGATGCAAGGTTTAAAATTGCGTAAATAAGCGTCGAGGCGGTAAGCCTCACGGACACAGAATTGCGTAAATGAAAAATTAAAGATTTTAGCAGGAAAATAATGACAATATTGTATCTTACAATAAAAACATCTAAATGATATATGAAAATAGTGGAAAGTAAGAAAGTAGATGCAATAAAATCATGTCCCAAAGTACAAAATC